CACCACTCCTGTTCAATACAGTACAGTAAACATTAGCCTGAGCAACCAGGAAAGAGAAACAAAGAAAAGGGGTATGTATAGGTAAGGAAGAAGTCAAATTACCATTATTTGCAGAAGACATGATCCTCTATAGAAGACCTAAAAATTTCCAGAAAAAGACTCCCACAATTAATCACCACATTCGGTAGTGTAGCAGGTTACAAAATTGACATGCAAAGATCAGTAGCATTCCTGTACACTGATAATGAACCCACTGAGAAAGAAATTAGGAAAACAATACCAGTCATAGCATCAAGAAAAGTTAAATACATAGGAATTAACCTAACTAAATGAAAGACCTCTACTATGAGAACGACAGTACTTTGAAACAGGAGATCAAATAGGACATCAGAAAATGGAAACATGTCCCCTGTTCCTCAAAATGCCAGCAGCATTCCTCACAGACCTAGAGAACATAACCCTAAAATTCATGTGGAACCGGAAGAGACCCAGAGTTACAAAAGCAATCCTGGACAACAGGACAAAGCAGGAGGCATCATAATCCCGGGCTCCAAGTCCTATTACTGTACAAAACCACAGTGATAAAAACAGCACAGGACTGGCACAAAAGCAGACGTGTATCAGCGCAACAGAATGGAAGACGCACAAACAATCCCAGGCGCGTTCAGACGTATGACCTTTAACAAAGGGGCCAAAAACATACACTGTACTGGAGGAAAGAGAGCTTGTTTAACATATGGTGCTGGTAAAGCTGGCTATCCACATGCAGAAGATTGAAGCTACACCTGTACCTCTCACCGTGTACTAAACTAATACCAAAATGGACTGAAGATCTAAACATTAAAACACAAACAATGTGCTGGGCGATAAAATAGGTAAAACTCTTGAAAACACAGACATAGGCAAGGAGTTTCTGAACAGAACCCCAACGGCACAAGAACAAATACCAAGAATCAACAAATGGGAATATATCAAATTAAAATGCTTCTCCACAGCAAAGGAAACAACCAACAGAGTAAAGAGATAATCTATAGAATGGGAAAATATTTTTGTCAGAGGTCCAATATCTAGAATATATAAAGAACTCCAAAAAGAAAATAACCTAAAAAAAAAAGACACAATTAAAAACTTTGGCAACTGAGTTAAATGAAAACATTCTTCTCAGAAGTACAAATGACCAATTGATACATAAGCAAATATTGAACATCTCTGACCTTTAGAGAAATGCAAATTAAAACAATACTAAGATTCTATCTCACTACAGAAAGAATGACTATCATCAAGAAATCAACTAGGGGCTGGGGATTTAGCTCAGCGGCACAGTGCCTGCCTGGCAAACGCAAGGTCGTGAGTTCGATTCCCGGTACCAGAAAAAAACAAAAAACAAACAAAAAAGAAATCAACTAATAAATGCCAGTGAGCCTGTAGGGAAAAAGAAACCCTTCTACTTTGCTGGTGGGAATGTAAACTAGCACAACAATTATGGAAATCAGTATGGAGATTCCTCAGAAAACTAAAGACATCATATGACAGTGATTGATGCATATTCATGTTTATAGCAACACAATTCATAATAGCTGAATCTTGCAAGCAGCATCTGTCTATTAACAGATGAATGGATAAGAAAACGTGGTATTTATACATGATGCAGTACTACTCTACCATATATGAAGGATAAACTTGAGTCATATGTAGGAAAATGGATGCACTTTGAGATCATAACATCCAATGAAATAATTCAGGCACACTAGTTTAAATACCAGTTTCTTTTATATGAGAAATCTAAAACATTAGAAAAGAGCTAAATAAAAGATAATACGAAATACAGTATGTAAAACAACAACCATTGATAATTTCCTACCACTTTGTCTGTAATTCGGTAAGCCCCCCTATCACTATGTTATCCTTCTTTTACTCTTTAAAATAATAATAATAATAAAAAAAAGATAATACAAAATAAGGAGACAGGGCTTGTTAAAAGTTAAGGTGACCAAGAGAGAAAGAGATGGGAGAGGGTAGGGATGGAAAATTGATCAGAAAACAATTAAGATGTTTTACATACATGTACCAACTCTGCACAAGGAATGTAATCATTACATACTGTAAACATGTACAAATAGAAATTAAAAACTAAGAAAAATTACTCTAATAGAATGAAACAAGTATATTTAAAACACTTAAATTTATGGTAGGGGTGGTAGCGCACACCTATAATCCCAACACTTGGAAGGCTGAGGCAGGAGATTTGTAATGAGTTCTAGTACAGCCTGTGCTATGTATTGAGATTGTTTCAAAAAAGAATACAAAACAATCCACTTAAGTTTATTATGAATATAAATTAAAAATCTCATTGGACACCTTTGAAGTGAGAAGGGGAACCAATTCATCATTCTCCAAAACTGGTAAACAATGGAAATAACTATCCTATCTTTCCTGTACCAACTGTTCAGTAGTCTCTCTATCCCACGTGGAATGCATTCCAGAAACTCCAGGGAATGCCTGAAATCACAGATAATAATCATATCTATGCTGTTTTCTCCTATACATACATATCTATAATAAAAGTTTAATTTGTAAATTAGGCAAAGTAAGAGATTAACTAAAAATAAAACAATTGTAACAATATACTGTAATAAAAGTTATGTGAATGTGGCCTTTCGAAATATTTTATTGTACTGCATTTGTCCTTCTCTTCTTGTGGAAGTGATGTGAGATAATACAATCAATGCCTACATGATAAGATGAAGCAAGATGAATGGTGTAGGCATGTAGGAATTATGACAGTGTTGGGCTACTACTTAAGTACTATAGTTTTTTCAGTGTTTAGTTTTTTCAGTGATAACAAACAGCCCACTGCAGCTCATGTGCCACAGGTTCACTACCACAGGTTTACATCGAAAATGTTCCCCAAAGCCTCAAGTGCTCCTAAGTGGGGCTTTCGGGAATGACTGGATCATGGGTGTCTGATAATCAGGTTAGTCCAATGACTGGATTAGTATAGTTCTGGTGTGGCTGAATGGATTGACTAAAGACAGAAGACTCACCCTGGGTGTGAGTGGCACCAACCAACAGACTTATAGCCTGAATGGAATAAAAAGGGAAAGGGAGGCTTGCTGCAGCTTTTTTCTGCCTGCCCTGCCTTGGACTGTTTCTCCTCTGCCATGCCCCTTGGCCATCTCACCCTGTCATGAAGCTGACTATGGACTGAAACTTCTACAAACTGTGAGCTAAAACAAACCTTTCCTCCTTTAACTTGTAGGTACCAGGTATTTTGTCTCAGCAACAAGAAAGTAGTAACTAAGACAGTTAAGCATTCTTGAACACAGCACTGTGATATCACAGGAGTTGATCTGGTAAGTCAGATGGCTACTAAGTGACTAATGTGTAGGAGTAAGGTGTAGAGCGTGGCTACACCACCTAAAAGACTGATGTTCCCAGGAATGTAGAGGGAGGGCAAGAGATTCTTCACCTTACTCAGAATGCATACAATTTAAACCTTTTAAATTACTTACAGAATTTTCCATTTAATATTTTCTGATCACAGCTGACCATGGAAACTAAAACCTTGAAAGCAAAACCATGGATAAAGGAGGAGTACTACATTTCAAGGGAACTAAATAGTTGTTGGAAAATTCCTTTTATAGTTCCCACTAATAAATGGAGAAAGAAGGAAAAAATTAGAAAATCATCACTTTGAAAACCTTAATAGATCTAGGCAGTGACTGTCAACAACTGCTAAAACCAATTGGTTAAATGCTAACATGAAACTAACTTCACTTGAACCCAATGATTTTTAAAAAGCTGTATTATGTAAATTATCAGATATACACAAAAACTCAGGATATAATGAAACCCCAGGTACCTATTACTCAGCTCAACAGTTATCAACTCTATGTCCAATATTCTATCATCCACACCCCTTCAACTCTGAAACAGTTATTTTAACACAGAAATGTAGAAAATTCTACAAGACCAATGACCCAGTTTTTTCTATAAATAAATAGGAAGAAAATAAAAAGGGATACAAAAATGTTAAAGATTAGCAGAGACCAAATTTTAACATACTGGCCTCACTTAAATCCTCATTTGAACATATAAATTGCAAGAAAGGAGGTGAGGTAGGGGCAATTTCATAAAAATCTAAACACTTGTTACAGAGTAATTCGATTTTCTTAGGTATGATGTTCTGGTTGTTTTTTAAAGAGTGCTCATAGTCTAGAGATACATGCTGAGTAATTATGGATGCAATAATGTCTGGAATTTGCTTTAAAATAGTCCAATGGTGATGGGTATAAAAAACAAGACTGACCATATGTTACTAACTGTTGAAGTTGGGTGATGGGTGCCTGGCATTCATTATATCATTTGGCTTACTTCTATATATGTTTGAAAATTTCCATAAATGTGTGTGTGTGTGTGTGTGTGCGCGCGCGTGTGTTTTACAAAATCAAGTTCCCCTGGAATAATGATGAGGTATGAATTGGAATGCACTGGAAACTAGGATGCTACTGCAAGTCCATGTGAGATGAAAGAGTCCTGCTCTGGAGAGAGGGCAAAAACAGAGAGAAAGGAGAATTCAATAGATATTTAGGAGACAGATCTGATAAGGCTTGGTAATTGATTATGTAAAGTGTAAGAGAGAGGAGTCAAGCATGAGGCTGAGATTTCTGATTGAGCATATACGTGGCACTGAGAAGGTGCAGATTTGGGAGGAGGTTTGAGATAACCCATGGGACCTAGCACACAGATGGAAACTGAAGCAAGATGAGTGAGAGATACCCAGGATGAGGACAGTAACTAGCACAGTGTCCTGAGAAACACTTAAGGCCAATCTGTGTACATGTCTGTGTGTACATACGAAGGAGGAGTCTTTGACTCACAGCTTGGGCCTCCTTCCCTTGCCAGCTCTTCTTTCCAGCTACAATCTGCATGTCTCCATGCCCCCAGATGGGCTGACTGAAGAGGACACCTGGGAAGATGCCCCCATGGTTGATCCTTACCTTGAGATCCTCACAAAGGTCACCATAGTCAATCTCGATGAGGGCCTCTCGTGCATAGATATTGGAAGTTCTCTGAGAGCCACTCACTGAATCCTCTCCCTGAGAGCTACCCTGTAATGGTGAGAGAGAGTATCAAATGGAGCAGTCTAGCCAAGAATATCCCTCCAAGTGGAGGCTAGGGCTCCTCTGCAGGCTTCAATGTGTTGGAGGAAGCACTTCTGGGGCAAAAGAAACAGATCTAATTTTAAAATTAGGCTGTATTTCTTATGAACAGCCAGATCCTGGGCAAATCATGCTCTTGGATTGTGAGGTCACCCCTCCACCCATTTTTGCAGTGCTGGAATGGAACCCAGGACCTCATGTACTTTGGGCAAGCATTTTATCACTAATTACATATCCCCACCCCAAGTTTCTTCATCTGTAACCTGGGGACAATGCTTGCCTTACAGGCATGTGGTTAGGATTAGAAGTAATAATGTCATAAGCTATCATAATGCCCAGAAAAACTCTGATGTTGAAAATATTTTTCTGAATCAAACTAAAATGCTCCTTGGAAGAGGGAAGAAGACCTGTGGGACTGAGATACATGTATATTTTAAGACAAAATATACATAAATCTCCTTGTAGCTAATGTTCTCCACCCGCTACCTAGCATTCTTCACTTCCAATGGATAAAAGGCCTCAACATCTCTAATGGTTAATGTCGGTCCCTTTCCTGTAACTAAGCTTCCTCACCTCTGCACTGCTAATGTCCATTACTCAACCCTCTCCTGGCCAACCTCTCTCACTGCAGCTAAGCCATCACTCTGTTCCTCCATATTCCCGTCTTTCTTTGCTCTTGGCTAACATCCATCACTTCCCGCTCTTACCAATATCCACCACCTGCTGGAGCTAACACAACATAGTTCAAGTCCTTAAGGTTAATGAATTCATCCAGTCCTAACTCAACTCTCATATCACCCACTGGCTTGCAGCACAACGTTCAACTCACCTTCCCTCTCACACCAGAACCACTTTTCACCTCACTTGCCTTAACTAATTCACCATGCCTCATCTCTTCTACATCCTTTTCTTTTCTTTTTTTTTTTTTTTTTTTTTTGACACAGGCTTTCACTACGCAGCTCCAGCTGGCCTCGAACTAACTTTGTAGCCCCTAACTTTGTAGCCCAGGCTGGCCTCGAACTCGCAGTGATCTTCCTGCCTCAGCCTCCTGAGTGCTGGGATTACAGGCCTAAGCCATCACACCCAGCCTGTCATTTGTTCTTTATGCCCCTCACTGTCCTTCTGTCACCTGCCCTTCCTAGTCACGTCCACAGCCCATTCCTACTACCAGCCATAATACTCACCTCTTCCTGACTAATGTCATCCATGGTGCCCTTCGAGAGTGGCAACTTGATGTCCTGCATCTTGCACGCCTGTAGCAAGTTGTGGCGGTCACTGCGCTTCTGTTCAAGCTTAGTTTCAATGGCTGTCACCTCTTTCTGTAAATGGGTCATTTCCCTAAAAAGGTCCAGGGAGCTAAGTGAGACCCCAATCCGGCAGGTTGCCTGTTCTACCTACTTCCTACCATACTGGGGCTGAACCCACTCACTTGTTGGCACCTCCTAGTTTCTTCCGAATCTCCTCCATCTCATGATTCTTGTCATTCACTTCTGACTTCTTGGCCAGGTGCTGATTCTTCAGGTCCTGTAGCTGCGCCATGGTCTCATCTATGATCTTCATGTGTCTTTGCTCCTCCTGGTCTCAGCAGGGAAAACAGGAAAGGAGATGAGGACTTTCCCATCTCACGTTGGGATCTTCTCTTGCCCCATCCTTCTCACCAGGCAGTGTGTTGGTGCTTCTCATCAACAAGCTCTGCTTTTACAAGCCTCTCATCACCTTTTAGCCTTCTTTTACCTTTTTCTAAATTATTTAGTTGCTCCTCCAGCCCAATTATATAAACTTCCCACTACAGAAAAGTTCTAAGTATAGAAAAATAATAAAAATGAGTGGAATCACTCATAATTCCAATAGCCAGAGATAACCAATTAACATTCTAATATTTTCTCCTGACATTACTTAAAAACAGCTTTACCTAGTGGACTAGATTGTATTATATATTGTGGTTGTACTGCATTGTGTATTCCAATTTAATGTTATATTAGAGCATTTTTTCCACATAATCTTTTTCTTTTGAGGTAGTACTGGGGATTGAACCCAGGGCCTTGTGCATGCCAGGAAAGTGCTATCACTGAGCTCTACCTCCAGTCCTTTTTGAACATTTTTTTTTTAAATCAAAACTTTCATGTGTAGTAAATTTGTTTTTTAACCCCCAAATACTAAATTTACTATAAGTACACATATATAAAAGTACAAGTATTTAAGTAAAGAAGAATACATACTAATTGGGAATTACCTTTGGAAAGAGAATGGTCAGCCAAAGGGATTTGAATTATAGCTTTACTTACAATATTCTGATTTTTTTAAAAGAATTCTTTTCATTTTGATCTTAAGGTCGCATAAAAGGGGATGTATCTGCAACTTACTCTCAAATGGTTCATAGAAAAATAAGCATACACAGACTACAAAAGCAAATGTGGTAACATGGTGACAGTAACTAATGAATCTTGGTGGTAGGTAGATTGAAGTTCTTTGACAGTAGGCCCTCTGTACCCATGGGCTGTGCACTGGTGGATTTAACCAACCATAAGTTGAAAATATGTGAAAAAATTATGTCTGTACTGAATTTGTAGATAATTTTCTTGGCATTATTCTCTAAACAATAAATACAGTGGTACCTTGGTTCACAAATGCTTTTGTTTGCAAACAATTTGATTTGCAAACAGAAGCACTTGGCAAAATTTCTTCTTTGCACATTCTGCCTAGGGTGATGAACACAACCATGGCCATCTTCTTTGCATGAACACAAATATAGCCATTTCCCCCAGGATTGTGGAACAAATTAAGTTTGTGAACGAAGGCATCACTGTTTACACTGTATTAGATGCTGTAAGTAATTTGGGATGATTTAGTGTATACAAGAGAATGTATGTAGGTTATATACCATAATACACCATTTTATACAAGGGATTTGAGCATCCTCATATTTTAGTGTGTGCATGGGTGGCCTTAGAACCAATCCCTCATAGATATCAAGGGATGACTCTATGATTCCTGCAACTTTCTGCTAAATTGAAATTTAAAAATAAAAGATCATATGAATACATTATCCTGGATCATCTAGATATAAATCTAGTGCTGGGCCAGGATTTTACTGCTTGATCTGCAATTGCATTTAAGATTCCAGTGACACCAAAGAGGACTACTGTAATCATCAGAGTTTAATAAAGAACACACACGAGCAACAAATATAGGCAGACATAATAATCAAATGGTATGTTCAAATCACCTTACGAGGGAATGTTGAAAGGGACAAAAATGTGATGGTAATTTAAAGAGGAAAGGTGTAAGAAAATAGTCATTACATAATACATACTTGTACATGCTCAGTAAACTCAAAAGAAATGAGCTGTAGAGGTTACTAGCATAGTCACACTGTGAAGTGACGTGGTTTCAGCACAATACCATCATCTACTGCACTGCATTTATACATGACTAGTAGAATCTGAGGTGGGGATGCTTGAGGCTGTGTCTCTAAAGGTATTTGCCAATCTCCTCTTATATCATTACTTTCTGCTCTTTCCCTTTTCTGTGTGCCCCCAGGAATCCTTAGTAGGTCTAGGCTAAGTTTGAGAAAGCTCCTTCAGGGTGTTAAGTCTGTCAAGACTATGCCAGTGGATAATGAGATGCTATTCATCTACAGTCACTACACACAAGTGACTGTGGGCAACATAACCATAGAACAGCTGAAGATGTTAAGATTTCAAAGGCAGGGTGAAATCTAGAATCAGCTAAAAGGGATTACAAAGGAAAATGCCAGGAAAGGTCATGATGACAAAATAGAAGAGCTAATGAAATACTGTATTAACTGGATCTGGTTGCCAGCCTTGTCTTTAACCCAAAAACAATGTCTTGTTTTTCAAACACAGTGATACTCCAGTTGTTGAAGGGCTCCAAAATAGAACTTCCTACCATTTGAACAGCAAAATTTGAAAAAAATATGCTCAATGTTTGTAACTTTGCTAGACAAACTGAAAATCCAACTTGAAAAACGTATATGGGCTGAGAGTCAGTCACATGTCATGTCTCACCACAGGCACAAAGGGGTGACACTTCAGTCTAAGCACTGCTCTCACCAAGACAACATACTATATAGTGCTTGTGTTAGTGTGTTAAAGCATTTGTCTTTTTCTTTGTGCTTTACTTGTGTAAAATAACATAACCATGACTCCAAAGAAAGTTAGTGATATCAGCAGTAAAGCTAAGAGGAAAACTGTGAGAATCACTATAGAGTTAAAAATGATAAACTTGAGACTTTTACAGGTAAATGCATACAACTCAAAATCTTAAGTGAAATAAACCAGATCACAAGTATAAACATTATATTATCTCACTAGCGTGAGAATCTGAAAGAGGAAACAAGATCCAAAATGTACAATAGATATTGTGAATAGGGAAGAAACTGTTCAAAAGAAAAAAAAAACTGTGATGGAAGAAAAGGGGAAGGAAGGGAAAAAGGAAAAAAACATACATATATACATAAATGTAAGACAGTTACAATATATAGCTGCTTTCTCTTGGTTCACTGAGGAGAAAGTTTTGTGCTAGTAATTTTCTGGACAATGTTTCATGCCTGTATGTTATACTGTGAACAACTACTGTGCATATAACAATACACAGTGTGCTGACTATTGTTACTCTACTAGCCTGTTCTGAAACTCTGTTTTACTGTTATTTCTTACTTTTTTTCTGTTTAAAATTTAACAAAAAAGAATTTCTAAGTGTAACTTTTGGGACTCAGAACCAATGAATTGATTTTCCACTATTTCTTATGGCAAAAATATGTTCAGTTCTCAAACTTTTTGGTGTTCAAACACAAATCTGGAACAAATTGAGTTTGACCACCAAGGTATCACTGTATTGTGGATGGTGTAAAATAATGAAAATAACCAGTTAACCTAGTTCTTCAAGGTTCTTCAGGATATGGCGCTAACAGATTAGGGGATGAAATCATTACAGACATGCCCTAATTTCTTTGTACCTGAGATTAATTAAAAAGTACACTTGCTACTTTTTAAAAATTAAATTTTATTCATTTTGTGAGTACTTAATTTATGTTTGTCTTGGTTTTGGTAAGTGTTCTACATATATATTTAAGTAATATTAAAGATTTAAGCCTAGACTGGAGATTTTAAGGAACAGTTTTGCTTTAAAAAGAGTCTGTGCCCAGGGATGGTGGAGCACACCTGCAATCCCAGCACTCAGCAGGCTAAGGCAGGAGGATCACAGCAAATATGAAGCAAGCCTGGGCTACATCAGTGAGTTCAAGGCCAGCCAAACTACACAGAGATCCTATCTCAAAAAACCAAGCCAAACCAAACAAAAAAACCCAAACACCAAAAAAAAGTTTATGTACTCGACAGGGATGGTGACATACACCTGCAATCCCAGCACTCAGGAGGTTGAGGCAAGAGAATCACTGCAAGTTTGAGGCTAACTTGGACGACATTGTGAGTTCAATGCCAGCCTGAACTACACAGCAATACCTCATCCCACCCCCGTCCCCCAAAAATGAAACCAACAATAAAAAGGTCTGTGTACCATTAAGGTTTGAAGACCAGATCACTAGACTACACAAATACAAGATTCCAATACAATTTGCTAAATTCCCACTTGCCCAGGGGAACTGAATAGTTTTCAATTTGCAACTGCCAATAGTGCTTGTAATAAACATCAACCTGCTTGCACAAAGTTTTCACAATTCTGGTTATCTGTTCAGGTATTACTGGGTTACAGGGTATAAATGCACTCCAAAGACTGTTGGTGGATGGTGCCACATTACTGAAGAATACTGGTCTCCTGCACTAACTTTGGTATTCAGCATTGTTCTTTTAGTTTTAAGTCTTGGGTAATGTGATAGTAAAAGTATTATACTCAATTGTTGCTTTCATTTGCATTTCTCTAATATCTGATAAAGCTGAATTACTTGCATGTGTTTATAGGCTATTTGAATCTCTTGAATTGCTTATGCCATTTACTTATTTCTCCTCTATTTCGGTCTTGCTGTTTTTCTTATTGACTTAGATGAGAGTGTTATAAATTCTGGACATTATTCTTCTGTTTGTCACATCTATTCCAGCTTTTCTTCCTGTCTTTCAATTTTCTCTTTCCTTACCTTCTTAAGCTTTTCTATCTCATTTTCATCTTTTTTCACTGTCTGCTCCCACATGTGTACTTTATCCTGGTCTTCTTTCAGTTGGTTCTTTTCAAAATCCAACTGGATGCCCAAACGAGTCTTCTGATTCTCAAACTCCAAACTGTGAAGACAAAGGAGAACTAGGTGCAGGGCTCAGAGCATTTGCGTTACTTCTAAATTTCAGTCACCATCAGCTCATCCATTCATATATACACAAAACGGTTTCTAGACGTTGGAGAACGAAGTTCCTCAACCTAGTACCATGACATGGCACAAGGCACAGGAGACTGAGACAAACCCTGTTACCCCTTTAAGAACTGGAGACTCCAGAATATACCCAAGTCCCTAGTGGGCACAAAAAAGTCCATTTGAACCCAACCCACCAGTTACAGTTAACTCCTATTTTTTAAGCTTCTATGTACTTTACATACATTACCTCTAAACTTCAAATCAACAGTTCCACAAGTAATCATTATTATCCTAATTTTACAAAGGAAACAGGCTAAGAGGTAAAACGCCTTGCCAATACCACACAGCTACTAATCAGCACATATGAGGTTGGAAACCAATACTAACACGAAAACCCAGGCTTTTGTCCTTATATCATTTCAATATATTATAGTGGGTTAAGGGGGTGGGTTTTTCAACTCTACCACCTACTAGTCGTACGATCTCCATCAAGTTAGTTATATTATATTCTCTTTGCCCCAGAATCTTCATTTGTGGAAATGATAGAACTTACCTCAAAGTTAGTTACCAGATTTTCTTAATAAGTTAATATGTAAAAAGTCCTTAGATCCATGCTTGGCACACAGTAACGACTCAATAAATTTCAGTTATCATCATTGCCAGCTATACTAACTGCATTCAATTCATCTTTATGCCCAGATGCTTTGGTTCTGTCCATTATCCCAAACCTCTTTCTGAAGATTTTAGAGCCTCTTAAGGAGTAGAATTGGGGCAGTATAAGAACAGGGGAGAAGGGGCTGGGGATTTAGCTCAGTGGCACAGCGCCTGCCTGGCAAGCGCAAGGTTGTAAGTTCAATTCCTGATACCGGAGAAAAACCAAAAACCAAAAACCAAAAAACAAAACAAAACAAAAGAACAGGGGAGAAAATACTTGGATTCCTGTTGCCCATTCCCCCATCTCTTTTTTTTGTTTTTTTTTTCCGGTACTGGGAATCCAACTCACGACCTTGCGCTTGCCAGGCAGGCGCTGTGCCGCTGAGCTAAATCCCCAGCCCCTCCATTCCCCCATCTCTTTAGAACCTCAGCACAGGTAACCAGCACAGACATTAGCAAGCCAGGCAGGATTAACTTCCAACTGCCCTTCCAATCCACAATATGGTGTGATAGATGTAGCCAGATGTCATGCTAGCAGCTTAAACCTATTATTGTAGCCACTATAATCCAAATGGAATGTAATTAACTCTGTAATTTTGAGCTATGCAATTTTAAGTCCAATCTCCTAAGTATGATTCACAAAGCCCTCTGTGATCTGGCCCCTGCTGACCTTGTTTTTATGCTGCAGACATTCAAAACTACTTAGTATCCAGAACAAGGCATACCCTCTCACACCTCCAAGCATGCTGTTCTCACTGCTTGGACTTCCCTTCTTCTGTAGCTGCTTGGCTGGCTAAATTCCATTCACTCTTTAAGATTATAGTTCATCGGTTCTTGTTCTGTAAATCCTTTCCTGATGATTCAGAGCAGGTTTTTAGTTTCTATTACGTTTTCTTGGGTTTCTCCTTTTAGAGCTTCAGTTGCTTAGCTGAGATAATCAAACCCCACAGCACACTACACACTTATCACCACTATCTATGCAAGATCCTTGCCTTGTCTCCTTTGTTTCAATCCCTAATGTCTACCCCATTACCTTTTATCCTTCTTACTTTCCAGTTAATAATGTTCATATTTCTCCATGTAATTGTATATAAATCTATTTTTGCCTTGAAATGCTCCCACAGTATTCCAGTCTGTACATTTATCACATTTAATTTATACTTTCCTCCAGTGATGGCCATTTACATTGCCAAAAACATTCCATGAACACAGATTATGCCAAGATAAACAATTCTAAATGTGTCTCTTTATGTGATTATGTGGCAAGACTCCTTTCTGGAACATAACTCATAAAGTGTGTGAGCCTGTGTGTAATCTTCACATACTAAAGAGGACATATGTAGACCTATTTTACCAAATACTGCTAGACTGATTTTAACTTGCATTTCTCTGATTAGGACATTGAACATCAATTTCTACAGTTGTTAGCCATTTGAGTTTCTCTTTCCGTGAAATGCCAACTACATCCTCTGCCCATTTTTCTATTAAGTCTCTTTCTTGGTGTTGTTTTTTATTTTTCCTTATGATTTGCAGGTCTTTAAAAATGTCCTCTGTATTTTCTATCTACCTCAGTTATACCATCAATCACACTGTTTTGAAATTGTTGACCTGCTTGCTTCCCCAAGCACTCCAAAAATTCCTTAAGATAAAGACTCTAATTCAATTCTATATCCTGTGAGCCTGGCTTGTGGCTGGGGAGCAAAAAGTATTTATTGTATGGGTAAAGGGCAAGACAAACTGTTTAATGAAACCTGGGTCCAGGGGATAACCTCCTTCAACAGTGACTGCCATCTTTCCCATCTTCCCTGCCCTTCTCCAATACCTAGCATACGACAACCTGGCACAAGGTGGGCATTCAAGAAAGACTGACTGACTGACTGAATGAACTAAAGTGAAGAAAGGAGAAGCTTGTTTTGTTCTTGCTATTCCTCAAACTAGCTCAAACTCACGGGTGTTCTACTGTCCTGTATTTCCTTGCTGAAAGAAACTGTCAGTGAGGCATTGGTTCATTAGTTTTGTATGTCTATATGTGTTTTCATGAGAAACTACATTGAAGATATCAATATGTAATACAATAAGCATTGTTAATTCCCTACCACTCTGTTTGTAACTCTGTAATATCTGTACTGATCCTATGCTATTTTGTAAAATGTTGTCGGTCTGTTAGTATTTTCCTCCTTTAATTTCTAAAATAAAAAAAAAAAACAAAAAAACACTAGCTCAAACTAGAACTCCCCTGCCACATGTACACATCAGGATATAACATAAAAGGGAATGTTTATTGCTCTTAATAGGTGCTAAGTATTGTGCTAAATACTTCACAGGGATTATTTCATCTGATCCTCCCAACAATGTCATGAGATAGGTAACATTACTATCTCAACTTATGGAAACTGGTTTGGAGAAGGCAAGTCACTGCCCAAAGTGAGTTGTGGGGTAGGGACTGTAATCTAGTGGGTAAGATGGCACTCTTATCCACTATTCTATGGCATACCACCCATCACCTCCCTGGTTTCCTTACCTACAATAAATTACTGTGATTCTAAGAGTTGGTCCCTGCCTTACGACTACATCTGACTTTCAAAGATGTCAAGCTGGATGGAGGCTCAAGGGCATCTCAGTATCTTCTAACAATACTTCCACCTACCGCTTTTTGGCAATTTCATTCTGCCGCTTCACTTTCTCTTCCTCAAATTCTCGGATATTGCGTACACCAATCTCTCGACAAAACTCTTCAAACACCTCATCCTCCACCTGAGGGAAAAAGCCAGGGAATGCAGAGGTCCTCTTGGTCAGAGTTCTGCTTCTAATCCCAGTCTTGCCCTGATACATATGCTGGCATGGCTCACCCCCTACCAACCTGATTCATCTTCTCCTTTAAGTCTTTCATTTCCCTCTCTCGGCTCTGGATGATCCGCTTGATGTCATTAATTCGAGGTCCGAAGTTGGCCAGCTCACTCTCCAGCTTGGACTTTTCCTATAGACAATGGGTTAAAAGACAAGAGATGAGGGTCCATGGAAGGAGAGAGCTACACTGACTGTACTGGCCCCATGGCCAGGGAAAGCTAGCTCTCCACACACTGATAAAACAAAACTTAAGACCACTACTCTAGTCAATTCTCTATTATTTCTCACTGGAACCATGTGACTGGAGCCTTGGACTCCTCTCTGGACTTCAGGTCAGCCAGCTTCAATCCACAAGGCTGAGTGCAAAGAAACATCATTAGTTATAGGTCTGCAACCCTTATCTATAACACCTGGGACCAGATATGTTTTAGAATCTTGGCTTTTTTTTTAGAAAAAGGTAAAATTATATATACACACACTACGTATTATAGAACACCTCCAGGGTAAACTGGGGAAGCACCCCATAATAAAAAAACACATTTAATGTACCTAAAAGAATACTTCCATCTATAAGGATTAAATGCTTGAAGCTCACTTTTAGTTGACTTTTAGAAGTTAAAGTATTTGAATGAATTATTCTAATAATAGCATCTTATATTTACTGAGCATCTACTACTAAAAGCATTTCCAGATATTAACTCATTCCATTTTGTAATGAACCTATAAGGTAGGTATTAATTCCACTCTTTTTTTGGGGGGGCGGGGATACACAGTGTCTTGTTAAATAGTTCAGGATGGCCTTGAACTTACTATGTAGCCCAGGCTGGCCCCACACTGGCAGCAATCCTCCTACCTCAGCTGGGACTATGGGCATGTGCCACATCTGGTTAAGTCTACTCTCACAGATAAAGGTGAGAAAAGCAACACTAAGAGGTTAAATAACTTGCCTATTGTCACACTCAAGGCTAAGCTAAGATCTGAAATCCTGGCTATCGAATGCTATGCTCTGCTTGGTTTGCTAGAAGAAGGTGGGAAGAAGAGTGTGGTATTCCCTACCCACAAAAAACTTAGGCCAGGAATGTGAGGATGGCCTTAGAGGACAGGGCTGAATGCCAGGCCCCACCTGGAGATTCAGTGCCAGATGCCGTGTCTTGGTCTGTTCTAGGTCACTCTGTGAGTACTTGAGCCGCATCTGTAGTCCATGGGCCTGAGACTGCACCTGACGCAGTTCTGCCTCTTTCCGTTTTGCCTTTACCTGCTCCTGTATGGGACAAGAAAGAAGAGCTCAGTGGTAAGAAGGTGCCCAAGCTGGCTCAGGACTCCTGCTCCTAGGGATCAGCACTGCCTATGGCTTACTTTTAGTTCCTCTGTCAACCGCTCCTTTTTCTCTTTCAACTTGTCTACTGCTTTTTCATCCCAGCGCCGTGCTTTAGCCTTCAAGTCACTGGCCCCACCAGAGATGACTCCTGACTTCTGGAACAGGGTCCCATCCAATGCTACTGTCTACACATAGTAGGAAGAAGAGAGAAGCTGAACAGAAAATCTCCAGTACTGAGCCCGTCTAGCTCCAACCTGGGCAAGGGAATCCACACCTTGTGGCGCTGATGCCCTCCAAAGGCAATGCGGCGGGCATCCTCCACGTTGTCACAGACAAGGGCATTGCCACAAGCATACTGCAGAGCTTTTTTAATGTGAGGTGGCTCATAGCGAATCACATCAATCACTAGCTTGGCCCCCTTCAGCTCCCGGAGTTTCTCATCTGTAGGTTTCACCTGTAGAGAGAAGCTTAGTAAGTGGTAGAACATAAAAAGCTAAAGGGAGGGGCGGTCAAACTCAACCCTAACCCCATCCCCTCAAGGCTCACCTCCAGGTAGTCAAGAGGCAAGAAGGTCTCAGGCTCCCCACGCTGCTCCTTGATATACTGAATACAATCCCGGCCTGTCTTCTCTGAGTCTACAATAATGGCATCCATGTTCTTGCCCAAAACCTTGGTCACAGCAATCTGATACTTCTTTTGTGTGGGCTGGCAGAGGTCAATGAGGCGGCCATACTGAGTGAAGGAGGAAGGCAAAACAGAAACAAGAGGCTTTTGGGAACTGGTTTAGGAATCTCAATTACCAGCTTGAAAGACGGGCAAGCTAAAATCTGTATTAGGAGGAGTGAACACAACTATACTGCCTAGTGGTCAAACTAGCCTGCTAATTCTGCACCTGTGTAACCCTACCCTTTATGAATGGGAATGGACTGAGGGAAAGCAGCCACAAGACTATTATTGCTGCCTGTAATCTAGACTAGTACAGTGGTCAATTCCTACGTTCCTTCCAAAGATGGAAAAGTCTGGGTAATAGAAGGAGTCTAAAGGAATGAATAAATGGGTCACATAAGGTGAGAAAACCAGTATTACATCAACATTTTGAAAGAGGCTCAGAGCAAGAGATGACACTGTTTTCTGGCTCAATTATACCGGATATCCAAAAGGCTAAAGCTGTAGGTTTTTCAAGACTAACCTTGCTTTTGGGACCTGACAAGACTGAATTGACTACTATAAACCTGAGTAGCCTGACCCAGGGAGACATTTTCATGTGATATAACTGACTAGATTAATTACTAATTAATGACTGAATAGGATTCTAGTAATGTGTGTGTGTATATACATACATATATACGTATGTATTTTTTTTTTTTTTTTGGAGATAGGGTCTTCCTATGTAATTCAGGTTGGCCTTGAACTCACTGTGTAGCCCAGGCTGGCCTTGAACTCAAGGTGATCCTCCTGCTTCAGCCTCCCGAGTATTAGGATTTCAGGTGTGTACCTCTATGCCTGGCTGTGCCAGTATAATTTGACTTATATGATTGTTACGATATGTGTGAAGACCAGGAGTGGACTATGATATTGTGAAATAAATATTTAGCCTTCATTCTTAGTTTCTGACTCATAGCTCCAAAAACTGAGGTGATAACAGTAAGTTCACTGATCACTGGCCACTCCTAGGTAGCTAAGCTTTAGGATGGGAGCTAGTCAAAGACCAAAGCAAGATTAGACAGTTGGGACTTTCAGTGCCACTCCATCCCCACTCTCAACCTATGGGTAGGAAAGAAGGGCTGAAGTTTGCCTTGATCAACAATGGCCAATGATTTGATCAGTAATGCCTACATATTGAAGCTTCCATAAAAATCTAAAAGCTCTGTGTTTGGGAGGTTTCCAGACAGGCGAACAAGATGAGGTACCTAGAGGGTGGTGTATTCGGAACAGGCATAGAAACTCCATGCCCCTTCTATACCTCACACTATATATCAGTCCCATCTGGCTATCCATCTGTATCCTTTGCAACATCCTTTATAATAAATGGGTAAACCTAAGTGATTCCCTAAGTTCTGTGAGCTACTCTAGCAAACTAATCAAACCCAGGGAGGGGATCATGGGAAACCAATTTATCACAAGCCAGAACCACAGACTACAACCAGATGCTTGCAACTGGTATCTGAAGTAGGGACAGTCTTGTAGGACCAAATTCTTAACCTGTTGTGTCTGACGCTGGTGTTTACCAGAGAATCACTTGGTAAGTGGAGAAAAATCCCCACACATCTGATATCAGGAGCAAAGTGCTGTATTGGTTACATGAGAATAGGAAAAGCATTGCAGTTTCTTCCCGTCTCACAGAGGAATACAGCCTTCATGCTATTGAGAAAAGAGTTTGTTCTGGCTCCCAAGCAAAGACTTCAGGCCATCATGTCTGAATCCAAAACCACCTTTGCACATCTCACTTTTATCTATTCTCATAAGCACTCAGCAAAATAAATATCCTATCAGTTCTATTCTTCCATCCCTCAAAACCAAGTGTAGTTCCCTAAGAATTATCAGGTGCAGAGACTGACACTAATTCATACTTATCTCCCCAGCAGTGCTCAGAGGAGTGACCAGGAAATACGTGTGGAACTAATTATGTTGAACCCAAGGATAGGATAACATAGAGATAATATTTGAGGAACTTGGGAACTCAGAATTGGGGGAAAGAGGCCCAACTAGAAAAGTATGAGTAACCTTGTCTTCACAGGGTTGCTGTGAAAATCACGATAGCGAGTGCAAGGAAGGGCTTAGGAAAAGTCCACCCTCCAGTCTTACCACAGAGCCAGGGTAAAGACGCTTGATGCTTTCCATTATCTCTGCCTTTCGCTGCTGGCGGCTACTCTCCTGGCGATCAATACGGGCATCCCCCAACTGCTCCATCACCTGGTTCAGCTCCTTATTGATCTCATCAATCCGCCGCTTGGCCATCTCCACTTCCTCTGTGAGCTCTCCTTCTAACTTCTTCTGCTCCTCTAGGGATTGCCTGTAAAAGGAGAACACAGAGCACAGATACGGTGAGAGATAATATGCTATGAGATAATACTGTATTCCGGGTTAAGAGACTCTGGCAGTCCTACTTGAAGAGGGACAGAACAAGTGTGGAAGAACAGGCATAGAAAAAAAGGGAAAGGTTACAGAGTCACATACTTGCTAGTGGTGATGTATTCCTCCAGCTTCTCAATCCGCTTCTGATTCTCTTCAATCTCCCGCAGCTTTTGCTTGATCTTGGCCTAGGTAACAAATATATTCCATTACCAGCGGATCCAGGTAACTCTAAGATCATGAAACACTGGCTTATACTCCCTCATTTGCCTGACCCTCCAAGAGCTCAAAAGTCCAGGACAATCTGTCACTAATGTAGAAAGCCTCCTTAAAAAGCAAGACACACAGATTCTATCCAATTTGGTCTGCTAACTGACAGGGGCCTTCCAGGGCTCCAGAACATAAGTACTGTACACAGCCCAGGCTTCCTCACTAGTCAGAGAAGCGCAAACAAAGGTAAAACCAAACCTCACAAGCCTTTCTGAATCTGTTTTCTCATCTGTAAAATGTAAGTAATTTGCATTTCACAGAATGCATATTAAGTACTAAATAAAAGGTAGCTATTAATATTAATGCCACCAACATATTATCTTGAGTATTTAAATGCACAACTGAGCAGAATGCCTGGAACACTGTAGGATCTTGGAGAAATACAACAACTATCATCATCATCATCATCATCATCATCAATATTACAGTCAGTGGTGCCTGCCCAGCAGGTGGCTAAATTTACCAGGGCTGACTCAGCACATGCCCAGAATAGGGGGCTGGGACACAGGTTAGGAGGCAGGGTAATGGGAGGCTCCCCTGAGGAGAGGTGGCCTTGTCCTTGCACAGAAGGCACAGGAGCCAGGGAGGGCGGGCAAAGAAAGGAGGACCTGGAGCCAGAGCCAGGGTAGCTTGGACTTATTGAGCACCTACTGTGTGCCAGGCACTGTGCTAGGTGCTGTACACACATTACTGCGTGAAATCCTCACAACCCTATGAGGTAGGTGTTTATAAACCCCCATTTGACAGATGAGGCTCAGGGAGGTGAAGTGATTTGGCCAAATTCAAATGGCTAGTAAATGGCAGAGACAGGAGGCAGCCAGGATCACAGACCTAAAAAAAAAAGAAAGACAGCAAGTGAAATATAACTGGTAAGAGTATGAGTTTTAGAGCTAGATTAACAATCTATCTCCACTACTGAATATTACACAACCTTAGGCAAATCATTTCACCTCTTTGCTATAGTTTCTTTATGTGAAAAGTAGGGATAATAGTAGCCATACCATAAATGTAGTCATAAATGAAGAATTAAATGAGTGAATGTAAAGAACAGTGCCTAGCACACAGTAAGTACTCAACAGACAATTATCATTTCCATTTCTAGGAAACATCATCCCTAATTTTTTTTTTTTTTTTTGGTGCACAGAATTAAATCAGGGCCTTACACACATAGAATTCACACTCTTCCACTGAGCTACATTACCAGTCCCCAGACCTAATCTCAACTCTTACCCACCTCTGTTTCTACTTTCTTCCGCTCTTCCAGATCTAGACGGTCCTGGTCAGCTTTCTGGTCTCGATTGAACTTCTCTAGTTCCTGGGCCAAAGTAGCTGCTCTCTTGCTGGCTTCTTCTTTCAACCGGTGGTATTTCTTCACCTGTGTGAGGGACATGAAAGGAAGACAGGGATGACTAAGTCAGTCCACGTTATCCCTGTGATCTCCTTCCCAAACCAACCCTCCCAAGGCTTACCTGATTTTCCTCCAGGGTCAAATCTCTGCCTTGACTCTGACTCTCCTCTTCCATTCGTTCCTCGAACTCCTGCCGGGCCTTCTCCACTGACAGCATTTCCTTCTCCAGCTCATCCATGTCACCTTTACGTTTCTTATAGTGTTTCTGAGCATTCTGCAGAGACTTTTTGGCTGCTTCCAATTTCTTGATTTTGTGGGAAGTATTTTCTTTGGCTTTAATGTACTGAGGCCGCTTCTGATTCAGCTCAGAATCCTTCTCCCTTGTGCCAGAGGGAAAGAGGACAACCAGTTAGCACTGTGGAAAAAAGGTGGGGTCCCACTCATTTTACCCAAAGAAAGCAGGGCCTGAGCCCTACGGTCAACTTTTTTTTTTTTTTTTTCTGGTACCGGGAACCGAACTCACGACCTTGCGCTTGCCAGGCAGGCGCTTTTGCCGCTGAGCTAAATCCCCAGTCCACCTACGGTCAACTTTAAGGAATCTCCTAAAAGACTATGGGTCTGATGCCCCCGTAGATCCTCAAAAAGGGGGCAATCCAATCATTCCCTGGAAACTACAGCTGCAGCCTGGCATTCTAGCCACTAGGTAAGGCAAGCTACCACCCCTGCTAGACTAGGTTCCTCACTGACTCCCCAAAATAACCTGTGTTTATTAAGTTGTCCGTCATCTCATTTAACCATTTCAAATTTCTATCCTTTAAGCATCTAATTTTAGTTTTCCTTTGCTAGGATGGCCTTCTCGGTCACTCCAATGACTGGGCCTCCCATAGCTTCCTCTCACTTGGCAAGGACAGTTCTCCAAGTTCTCCTTCCTGAGTATCTGCCTACCCAGAGCATGAGAATTTAAATATTCTACTTGTCACAAATGCAAGGCATTTATACTGAAGCTGGCCAAATCAACTCAAGGAGAAGATAGAGAATTAATACAAGCACTGGAATTTAGGCTCAGAGGAGCCCCCAGCACAGCCTCTTAGTTTCTCACTGAGGTTTGACTCTTACTTGATCTCCTTTTCAATCTGCTGCTGCTCCCGCATCATTTTGCCCAGCTCCTTCTTCTTCTCTTTTAGCTCATCCTCAACCTTGTCCATACGCTTCTTGTCCTTCTCAATTTCCTTGTTCTTTGAGGCTAGTTCCTTGTTGAGTTTTTCAATTTCTACTTCATTATGGTAAAGCTTAAACAGCTGCAGCTGTACCTGAGCTCGTACCACCTCATCCTTCAGGCGCTGGTAGCGGTCTGCCTGTAAAAATTGGAATGGCAACAGTGGTAAGGCACTGGCTCCATCCTGGTCCCTCAGAGCCAAGAGGCAGCCTAGCCACCTACCTCTTCTTTCTCTTGTTTAGCCTCCTTGCGTTCAGCTGCTATGTTTTTCTTACGATGATAATTAAACTGCGTATCCTCTTCAGCCTTCACCATTTCCTTCTTTCGCTTATCATATTCCTGGGCCAGCTCCCCAGAGCGACTGATCTCTTCAAACAGAGCTGTCCTCTCTTTAGGGTTCTTCATGGCAATAGATTCCACAGCACCCTAATAAAGATCAAAACACTCCCATTTAGACCCTAGCAAGCTCAGTTGCCTGTGCCCACTTACTAATTATTTAGAAAAGATTCTCTGATCCTGATCCCCTTCCTCCAACTGGTACCACATTTCACACAGGGCTTAGAGCAGAAGAGGGAACCGAAGAGACAGACACAAAGATAACAGTGTGTTATGTGTAGTGACAGAAGGAGCACAGAAGAAGGAGTAAATGAAGCCTGGGGGGAGGGTGGGAGACTGGTAAGGATGTCTATCTGGGAAACTTTTCTGAAAGTCACACGAGTTTGGAAGATGGAAAAAACTAGTCAAGAAAATAAAAAAGGAGGTTGGGGATATAACACTTGCATAGTATATGTGAGGCCCTTGGTTTGAGACCCATAACTGGGAGGAGCTAGAATTCAAAAAGCCGAAGGGAAGGGAAAGGAAAGGAGGAAGAAAGAGAGAAAATGTTATCCCACATAGAAGAAAACTAATATGTAAGTACCTGCACGTCAAAGACAGCAGGTGAATTTAGGAAACTGCAAATGGTTTAATTAGGCTGGAATGTAAGGTGAGAGAGAGTTACTGGCAGATAAGGCTAGAAAGGTGAGCAAGAACCAAATGACAATGTTTCTTGAATGACAGGTTTAAGAGTTTGGATTTTTATCCTAAGGTAATACCTGCCAAACTTCAAGCCTGGTAAAACACAAACAGCTGAGCCCTACCCCATAGTCTCTTCAGTCCATAGGTCTAGAATGGGGCCTGAGAATGCATTTGTTACACAGTCCCAGGAAGTATAGACACTTCCATTCTGGGGACTATAATTTAAAAACAACCACTGTAAAACAAGCAGTCACTAAAATGCTTTACAGAAAGAAGGGACAGAAACAGATTTGTGTTCTTACAAAATGAAGCCGGAGGATGAACTAGAAGAGGCCAGACTGAAATCAAGAAACCCACCAAGGAAGGTGCTACATTAGTTTGTGGGAGAGATGAAACATGAGGTAGAACAGGCCTAGGAGAGATGGGACAAGGGCTAACAAAAGTAGATAGCCAGCCAATCACTGTTTAAAATACACACCTGAAAAAGAAAGAAAAAAAAAGAAAATGCACACCTGGAAGACGAGGAAGTTACGAGCTTTGATGAGAATGCCCAGCTTCTCTAATTCCTCACTGTACTCATGTAGCTGAACCACTTTGTTGTTGATCTTGTACTCAGATGAGCCACCTGTAAGAAAATGCGTGAACTGATGAAGGTCAGGCCTTCCTCCTATCCTGGCAACGAGTCTAACCACCTCCTAGCACACTAGGAAAGATTTCCCAACCAGGCTTACCCACCTACAATGACACGGGCAAAGGTGCGGTCTTCAGCACCCTCCTCAGAGTAGACCATGCTGACAAAAGCTCGATTAGCAGCTGGCTTGCCCACAGGAGCTCCATGGATTAGGTCCCGCAGGGTCTTTACTCGCAGATTGCTCGTTTTTTCACCTAGCACAAAGCTGATAGCATCCATGAGATTTGACTTACCTAAGAGGAGGGGACAAAGCAGAGGAGTGAAAATCAGAAAGAAAGGAAATGGAGAAGGAGTCACTGAGAGGAATAGATACGTTCTTTATTCACTCAGTGCACGGATTAATGGGAGAAAATTGCCTCTGCCCTCATAAAAATTGGGCCAAGCAAAGCTCTGGGTCAAAGACTAAAAAAAACAGCCCTCTTGCTGTTATTACTTATTGCATCCAGAAACTAGAACTCCCTAAGAGTATATTCATAAGAATGGGCTGTTCTGCAACCTTTAACAACACAGGCAAATAACCATGAACACAAAATAAGAAAGATATAAAAGTCTATTTAGTTTGGTCTCAACAATGCCAGGCATGGTGGCGCACACCTGTAAATCCCAGCACTCGTGAGGCTGAGGCAGGAGGATCATTGTGAATTTAAGAGCAGCCTGGGCTACAAAGTGAACTCAAGGCCGGCCTGAACTGCGTAGTGAGACCCTGTCTCAAAAAGACAGAAAAAAGCCGGGCATGGTGGTGCATGCCTGTAATCCCAGCATTCGGGAGGCTGAGGTGGGAGGATCGTTGCGAGTTCGAGACCAACCTGGGCTACAAAGTGAGCTCAAGGACAGCATGAACTACGTAGCGAGACCCTGTCTCAAAAAGACAGAAAAAATAAATAAATAAATAAAAATACATATATTTAAAAAATGTAAAAACAAAAAATGGGCTAGTAAAAAAGGGGAAATAAGGGTTTCTTTTTAATTTCAGTGTTGCAAAATGAAAAAGTTGTGGAGATCTATTGCATAACAATGTGAATATAACACTAGTGAGCTCATACACTTAAAAGTGGTTAATTTAGCAAATTTTATATGTGTTTTACTATAATTTTTTAAAAGGGCATATGCCAGTTATGATACAATATGAAGCACCCTAGAACAAGCGTGGTAGCATATGTTTTTAACCTTAGCACTCCAAAGGCTGAGACAGGAGGACTGCCACAAGTTCAAGGCCAGCCTGAAGTACAAAATGAGACCCTGTCTCAACACAACAACAAAAATAAAAAGAGCCACCACACAACCCTATATGAAGCACCCAGCATCAGCTACAAAGTATCTTCCTCAAAATACTTAACCTGAATCTAAATAAGCTTTTCAACCTAAATTCTATTTTCTAGAAAATACAGTAGAGAGAGAAACCAAATAAATGTTACTATGAGGAAACCTTAGGACAAAAACAGAAAGTGAGATAGTCAACAGCACTTGCCTAGTATGCTCAAGACCCTAGGTTATATCCCTAGCATAGCCCTCATAAAAAGGTTAATGTCTAAAAGAAAATGGGAGAACCATTACAGAACATAGGAAATTATTGAGATACATTAAGTGCCCCACTTATGAACGAGTTCCATTCTGGGACAATGCTGGCAATCCAATAAAGTGAATCTTATGCAATAGATCTGTGAATCTTATATAGTACACCTAGAAAGTTCACAACTGGAATGTTTATCAGTCAAGGACTTACTGTAAACAGACGCAGTGTGTGAACTCTGGATTCTGGTTCAAAAATAAAAGAGAAAAGTATTTAAGGGTGAAATGTCATCAAGTCTGCAATTTACTTTCCAATAATTAAGCGAAATACATATTTGCAAATTTTCATAATAAAAACTTGGGGAGAAGAGAAGGTATAGAAAAATACATGAAAATGTAAACCATATAACTGCAATTGCTTCTGAGAAGGAAACACAGTAACTGACGTCAGGGGAGAATCTCTTACATAGTGCCATCCTTTGGCATTTTCTAAATGTTTTTATTGTGTGTGTTTCAACTATACAAATAAAATGAGGATTTTGTTTTTGTAATACTGGGGATTGAACCCAGGGCCTTGGCTCTAAGCTACATCCCAAGTCCTTTTTATTTTGAGACAGGGTTTAAGTTTCCTAGGCAGGACTTGAACTTGCAACCCTACTGCTTCAGCCTCCCAGAATGTTGGGACTACAGGTGTGCACCATCCCATTCAGTTTATCAATCAGTGTTTTAAAATAAAGAGTGGCTATCTTTTCAGTACTAGTGTTAGTTTTATTTTCTTAATATTAGAATCAAAAGAACGGACATTTTTTAAAAGTTTAGACTGGTATTAGAGGATGAGAAGGTACAGTTTATTCTACAAATTCTACCTCAGGATTCTCCCCATTCATGTTATATGACTGAACTGAGGATCTGATGTCCAATGCCATTCTACCCAACCATAAAAACGGTCCTTCCATGGAAGCAGAGAAAAGTCATTAAGACTTTGGGCCCAGGTGTGGTAGTGCATGCCTATATTTCCAGCTACTTGGGGGACTGAGGCACTGTTGCAAGTTCAAGGCCAGCCTGGCCAACTGGAGGGGTGGGGTGTGGTTTAGGGGCAGACCACATGCACAGCATGCAAAAGATCCTGCCTTAAGCACCAGAACAGAGAAAAGTGGGGGGGGGGCTTGTATAGCAGACCTAAACCAGTTCTAATACTAGTTTCACTATTTCTTAGCTGGTATCCCCTCCCCTGATCTGGAAAAAAAAACGAAAAAAGACAACTTACAGTTCTAAAAACTGAATGGCACATTCTTTTGGAGTAGGAGGAACACAGGCCTTGAAGTATGACAGGCATGGGTTCTAATCCTGGCTCTGAAAACCACAGGCAAATTATTATACCTCTGTATCTCAGTCTCCCCAGGTATAAAGTGAAGGCTTTATTAGGTGTAAAGTATGTGCTTTGGATTCGATCTCCAGAATCAAAAATGAAAAATACAATAAAATAAATGGTAAGAGTTCCAATGAAGTACCTGGCATACAACAGATGTTCAATAAAGCACAGACCTATCCTAACCCAAGTCTGGACTGAGTTGTCTCACCCATTACAGACTAGCACATCACACAAACCAGGAGTCAGTCTTTTAGACACCAATTTCCAATCTCTGGGCTTCTCCCATAATCTCCAGGGAAGACAAGAACATCTCACAACCAAAAGCCTTTACACAATCATTCAACATTTTAAACATTTTTATAATACATAGTATATACAGTACACCAATAAAATGTTTCAAGGAATGTCTTCTTTAGAGCATTCACAGACCAGTTACGAAGACGCAAAAACATACATCAGAAGTACAAGAACAGAAAAAAATAAACATTAATGTGTACAAAGAGTCTACTGTGCCAGAGAGGAAGAGAGACTAAGTAGGAATCAAGGCATACCTCGTAGAGGTAGACTTGAAGAATGGGGCAGGAGGTAGTCCGACCAAGGGCATTTTTAGAACAGCTGGATATACAAATCTACCAATGTTGAGGGGACTGAATGCCAAAAGGTGCATCCTGGCTTTTTCCACAGGGGCCGCAACACCAGAACCCTAAGAAACTGGGTAGAGTTCCATGCATTAACCCTCTAGGCCAGTGGTTCTCAAACGACCTGAAAAGGGGAAGTAATTTTGTGCTCCGTCCTCTCACAACAGGCAATGTAAGGAGACATTTTTGTCAGTCATACTTGGGAAGGAGTGCTGTCATTTAGGGGTAAAAGCCAGGGATGCTGCAAAGCACACAATGCATAGGACCAGCCCTACAACAAAGATTTCTCTCATTGATGTGCCAATGTGGAGAGCCCGTGCTCTAAGCAGAGATCCAAACTCAGGCGAGACTCCAAGGAAGGTATTTAGTGTGAGTTACTTCACAGCAAGGGCAGGCTCTTGGGCTAGAAAATGAGTGGAGATCACAGCAGGATTCCCAATAGACCACTTCTGGGTACACGGAGTACCGTATGGAAATCAGGAATGAAGCTATGAAATAGACATTACCGGTAAAGTGACCACCCAAGTAACTCTCACACTCACATGTCCCATTTCCCGCACATCCTAAAAGTATCTTACTTTCTCCTTCACCTTCTTCCCCCTCTTATAATTTCCATGAGAACATGGATTTGGTTTATTCTGTTCTCTGCTATTCCCCAACTTGAACAACTCCTGATGAACATTAAGAGCATTAAAAAAATCTGGAAGGTGAATGACTTCAGGCTTTTGACAGTTTCCATGGCAGGAAAGGAGCGAGTCCGGGGCAACACTCTGAGAAAGACTCAGGACACCATGCACTCAAACGCTGGGTCTTAAATTTAAAAGTGCCGCTTCGGGAAACGGGAGCAGAAAGGAACGAATTGGAGTCTACCAATGCTAGGAGGCAGGGGGACGGGGCTGAAGCTGGAGTGTGCCGTTTGGAACCTCAGGTATAGCACGGCATAGCTCTCACATTTTCCGGGTGGGTCGAACAAGGCCGGAAAGCCGGAACCGGCCAGAAGAGCAAGAAAGCGCGCAGCTGGCAGTTGGCTCTCGACCAGCCCCTTTTGGCGGGAGGGGGCAGTGGGCGGGGCATCCTGCAGTTCGGCCGGTACCACTCAGGCCGGAGCGGTGGTCATACAAAACTCGGGGAACTAACACCTGGGGAAGGGGCTGGAGTCAGAGGAAGAGTGCGGAGAGTGGGTTCGAGTCGAACCCTCTCAGAAGCTAGGAACCTTTTAGGGTTCACAAGGTTTCAGGTTGCAGCGACTGGGTTGTACTACTCTAGCGCTAGACGGGGGGGTCCAGGCCGGGACGTGTGCGGGGCCGCAGCTGGGTTTATCTCACCAGAGCCATTGGGTCCAATGATGGCGGTGAACCTCTGAAATGGTCCGATAATCTGTCGACCCTTGTACGATTTAAAGTTTTCGATCTCAATCAATTTCAGGAAACCCATGACGGCGGCGACGTCGGCAGTGGGAAAGGCCCCGCCGTACGCCCAGGAAAGGGGGTAGCCCGCGCGGGAAACGCCGCGGTGCAGGCCGGGAAGAGGGTAAAACTCGCGAGAACAAACCATGCCAAACGGGACTTCCTGCTTCCGGTGCGAACCGGAACCAAAGGCGGGGACTTGACGTAAACGGTTTTGTTGACGTGTTGCCAGGGCTCAAGCCTATGAACTGGCGTTTGGTCCCGCCCCCCCGCTTTGTGTTGCCCAGCAACGCAACGCAACCGCTGACCGAGTTGCTACAGGAGTTGGAGCCGGAGGACTCAGAGAAGTTTTGGGGGCCTAGAAAGCAGGCGGGACCTGAGCCCGCGCTTGCTGTGACAAGTCACTTTAAGGTTATGTACCTTACGGCAAGTGGAAGGTAAGGGAACGCTGCTGTGGCTTTATTTAGTCTAGTCAGCCTGAAGATTCGAAGAAGGGCCGTCAGGAATTAGAAAGACACCGGAAAACGGAGGGCTGGACTGGAAGGAAAGGCCCGGTGGGAGGGCTCAGTGTGAGGTGAACTCAGACGTGCTGATGGTAAAAGTGGGATTCGAGGCGGAATGGGGTGTGAAGGGGGCGCATTTCCCGGGCGACGGCGAGCGAGCTGGGGAAGGCCATGGCCTGAGATGGCTCCTAGTCCTTGCCTCTCTCTTGTTCCTCCAAGCAGGACTCAGAGACTGCCACAGTAACTCAAGAACAGACTTGGACCCATACGTAATCTAGGAGCTTCGGCATTCCTCACTGAGAAAGGTATTTTGTGTGAAGCTCGGGGAGTCAGGGTCTCAGCAAGTGCTCTCCACCTCCAACCTTACCTTCCTCCCCGTCCACTTCTCCCTTCATAGCGCTCCCCCATTCCGTTCCCACTGTCACATCCCTCTCTGCCACCTTCCTTGCCCTCTTCCTCTTCCCTCTCTGTTCTCTGCCCTCCACCTCCCTACTCCCTTGTCCCCCTTCTTCCTCTTGTCCCTCTAGTTTCACACTCTTTAAATCTCTCTTCTCCATTCTTTCATCCCCCTACTGTTACGTTATGCCTGCTCATTACTAAGGTCGTGGCCCTAGCAGTCCAAGCTTAAAATGGCTATCTTCCCCTTGGGTGACCTTATATCATGGTGGCAGATGGAACCGGTAGGATGGGGTTGGTGCTATCCTCAACTTAGATATGGAAAGGATCTGATAGTTGCTGTAGCCATTCCTGTAACTATTTTTTAAATGACTGCTGAAGACGAGTAAGAGTCCTAAAGACTTAGGACAAGTCCAGGGAAGTGAGAAATCTTGGTTGATGGAATCTAGTAGGAGAGCCATAAGTGAAGTTCAGTTGGGAGAAACAGTCACAAATCGGGCCACTTCTCTCCTTAGACATCTCTTCTCCCCTTGTACATTCTTGTTCACCTACATTTACTACCTTGGAGACCTCATACAGTTGCATAGGTTTACATTTCTTTGTGTTAGGGGATAGGTGTGTAGCTCAGTATTAAAGCACTTGGCTAGCATGTGCAAGGCTCTGGGTTCCATCCCCAGCAGCACACACACAAAATTATTTGTATCAATCAGGATAGGCTAAATTGTACTGAGGTTACAAACTCTAAAGGTTCAGCACCTTGTCCACTGTAGGCTCTATATCATCATTCCAGGATGCAGGCTCAAAGAGCAGCCCTTAATCTGGGACACTGCCAGTTTCATTCATAGCAGAGAGTAAATAGAAAAAGTGGTAGTCACTTAATGGCTTAGTTCTGCTTGGGAGTAATGTGTTAATCCTCACATTGCAGGAAGCAAAGCAAATCAATGGCTAACCCCAAGGGAAATGACAAAGGGATACACAATCTTTCCTTAAGGAAGAGCAACAAATCAGTTTGAACAATATAGCTATACCATCTCAATGCTATCAATGCACAAAAACTCTCAAACTCAGCATGACCAAAACTGATGCTCTGGTGTGGTGGTACAAGCCTATAATTCCAGCACTCAGTAGCCTGAGATAGGAGGTGAGTTGAAGGCCAGCCTGACCTACAAAGTGAGGCCCTGTCAAAAAACAAAAAAACCCCAAACTGATGCTTTGATCCTCCTACCACCTCCTTGTTCACTCCACAAAGACTGTTCAGTTGATCCATCTGATGGCTCAGGCCCAAATCCTTGAGGTCATTCTTGGTCCCTCTTTCACACTGCACACCCAATTTATCAGAAAGCAAGAAGTCTAATCATCCCTTCCTTCAAAATAAGTAAATCTGACCACTTCTCAACACCTCTGCTGCACCTAAACCAGTGTGAGTCACCATGATCTCTTGCCTGGACAACTGCAAAAGCCTCAACTGACCTAGATCTAGCCTTGCTTTCCCTTTTCCCAGTCTGTTTATAACACAGCAACCAGAGTGACCTTTTAAAAATCAAAGTCAAAACATTTCACTCCACTGCTCAAAAACCTCCAGTAGCTCCCCACTTCTCAAGAGTTAAGGCGCCTGCCTGGCAAGCGTGAGGTCCTGAGTTCAATTCCCGGTTCAAAAAAACATTTGCTGGGATGTAGCTCAGCGACACAGCGTCTGCCTGGCAAGCTCAAGGTCATGAGTTCAACTCCTGGTACAAAAAAAAAAAAAAAAATCTCAAGGGTTAAAGCCAAAGTCTTTGCAATGGCACACAATAATGCCATTTCTTAACTACTTCTTCACCCACTTCCTCCAGCCACACTTTACCTCCTTGCTGTTCCCTTGTCTGCCTCTCAGGCTTTCACTGTAAAGCCTTCGTGCTTGCTGTTCCCTCTGCCTGGAATGGTCTCTCCCAGATCCATGGGCAGATGCATGGGGAATTCCCTCACCTCCTTCAAGTATGGCTCAAATAACGCATTTTCAGTATTGCCTCTCCTGACCTCCATATTTAGAACTGCAAAATTCCCCCATTTTCTTGATACTTCTCAATTCCCCTTGTCCTGTGCAATACTCTTCCAATATAACTTATCTTTGTACAAACTCTTCAATATATCTTTTATGTTTTAACTCTTTATTATCTGCCTGTTACCACTAGAAAGATAACCTCCATAGAGACTCAGATTTTTGTCACTTTGTTTTTTGGTATCTCTTCAATACTTACAGGAGTATCTGGCCACTAGTAAGCACTCTACAAATGTTTGTTAAACAATGGAATAAACAGGGTGGTAAAAGCAATATACTGAATAATATAGCCTGACATTTTAGAAAGGTCAAAAACAATAAAACTTACAGAAATGTTGTTCAGGGATTCAGACACATACATAATACAATAATATAAATTACAGAGGGAATCGTACAGATTTTGAGTAGTGTTGGTGTTACTCTTGGAGTAAGGATGAGGAAGAAGAGACACAGTACACTTTAATGGAATGGTCCATAATGTTCTGTTTCTTAAATTGGGTAACTGGTTTATGGGTTTCTATTTTATCATGCTTCCAAATTTACACATGGGTTATGTATACTTTGCTGAATGTATCAACTATTTTGTTTGTGTTTTGAGACAAGATCTCGCTATGTAGTTCAGGCTGGCCTCAAACTCTTGGCCATTCTCCTACCGTAGCCTCTCGAGTGCTGGGATTACAGGTGTGCTCCACCATACCTGGCTTATATCAACTATTTTATAGTTACAAAATGGTTTTTAAAAAAAGATGGGGGCCAGGGATGTAGCTCAGCGGCACAGCACCAGCCTTGCAAGCATGAGGTCCTGAGTTTGATTCCTGGTACCAAAAAATAAAAATAAAGGTGGGAAGTAGCTGTAAGAGGAGTCGAGGAATGATGCTCCAAACATAGTAACACAAACCAAGGGCCTGAAGTAGGAACAGTTGTGCTGGAGTACTTGATGGGAGGCCAGTGTGCCCGGGATACACTAAGCAAAGGAGACAGTGGTATATGACAGACTGGAAACCAGATCTTGGAAGCCCATAGTAAGGAGTTTGGATCTGATTCTCAGTGCAGTAGGATGCCAGTAAAGGATTTTATTCAGGTGAGAGACATAATCAGATTTATGTTTGTAAAGTTTTTTTGAGGCAGGGTCTTGCTTAGGCTAGCCTTGGACTATGTAGCCCAAGCTGGCCTTGAACTCAGTGATCCTCCTGCCTCAGCCTCTCAAATGCTGGGATTACAGGCATATACAACCACACCTGGCTCAGTGTTTACAAAGTTTTTCTGCCCCAGCTTTGGTTGCCCTGCATGTCAAAAGTGAGTTTCCCAACATATGAACACAGGCAAAGTTAAACTCTCTAGCCTTTCATTTGGCTAGAACATAAGTAATAAAAGCAAAGGAAAAATTTATTTCAGAGAAGAAAGCTGCTTTTGCTTGTTGTGTGATGAGTGGGCTATCAGAGGAAGCTAGAAGACCAATGTGGAGACCACTGCAGTCATTCAGGAAGGTTCTGATAGTGGCTTTGACCAGGGTTATTTTGAGAGAACAGAGAATGAGGGTAAGGAAGAGCTGAAAGATGCCTCTTGAGCTTTTGGCCTGAACAACTTGGTGAATGGTGATTACTTACTGAAATGAGGAAAACTGAGTAGAGAAAGGGCACATATTGTCGGAACCTTTGAGGCTTAAAAAGGTGAGGAACCAGGCCATGAAGAACCTTATAAATCTGGCAAAGGGGATTGGACCTTATCTTGTAAACACCAGGGAGCCATTTGCTTTAAAGCTCTTTCAAAGGTTTTAAACTAAGGAGTGGTCAGTTGTGCCTTTAGCAGTATTACTCTGGGCCTGGTGTGGTGCCACACACCTGTAATCCCAGCACTCGGGAGGCTGAGGCAGGAGGATTGTTGAGAGTTCAAGACCAGCCTGGGCTACAAAGTGAGCTGAAGGCCAGCCTGAACTGCATAGTGAGACCCTGTCTCAAAAAGACAAAAAAAAAAAAAAAGAAAGAAACATTACTCTGGTAGCCAGTGCAGAGAAGATAGCATTTGAGCAAGGGAGCCAGCAAGGCTACTGGGAATTTTGCTTGACATTAGACTGTGAGGCTTCAATTAGGGTGGTAACAGCTGAAATGGAGGACACATATATAAATATATCAGAAAGTAAAATGAGTCAGAATCAATTACAAAGGAGATACTGTAAAGAGAAAGGATGGAGGTAAGATGTCAAGAACCATGGTCACCACCTCCCTCTTGCTCCAGATGTATAAAGTAGACCTGTCATCAGATCCCAAGGAGGTGGCAGCTATCGAGGCTAGAAGAAATCGAGAACAAGATCGACAGAGCCGATTCTTCAATGTGCGAAACCGAGTCATAGGGGTGAGTGGGCAGTGGGTCTGTTTTGCAGGACTGGGACCACCTCACTGTTATATCTGGAAGGGAACATAGCAGTGCTCATTATGGCCCTTTCTCCAACTCAAGCAGGTATTAGGGCTGGAAAGGAAGCAGGAGGCATATACCTTCACAGGCCAGGGAAGCGTTTGGGAAGAGGGTTGGGGAGATGCAGGGAAGAGACCGGGGGCGACAACTGGCTCTTTTCTGGTTAGCTGTGGGCCATGTGGCCTTATTCTCTAGAGACAGGCAACTTGGGCCCAAAAAAGGAATAAAGAAGCAGGATGTGATGGTGCACACCTGTAATTGCAGCATTCTAGAAAGCTGAGGGAGGACCAATGCAAGTTTAAGTGCAACATATGTGAGTTAATGAGACCCTGTCTCATAAATGAATGAATGAATGAATGAATAAGGCTAGGGATGTAGCTCAGTGCAAAGGCCCTAGCTTCAATCCTCAGTACTGCAAAAATAAATAAAGAAAATAAAAAGGCCTACAGAATATTTAGCGTATTACATACGTGTAGGCTATATCTGCAAGGCTACATAAGATCCTGTTAAGCAGGCTGAGGGATACAGACTTAAGGGTGAAAAGGGAACTTACTTTTCACTACACTGGATCCCCTTTTCAATTTTGAAATGTTTTACAATTAAACTAAAGAGAAAATATTGATATCTTAAGAAATAAAAAGGGGATTGCTGGGTGGGTGGTTAGAGAGAGTGATGCAGCAACGGTGTTCTGGAAAAGACACCATACCTCTGTTCAAGGCCATGTCTGCTGTCTGTCAGATAGGTAGTTTTGAATAAGTCATCTTTCTCCTCTAAGCTCTAGGCTCCTCTTCTGTAAAATGAGGTAAATAGAATAGAGGTAGCACTCTGGAAACCAAAGCATAATGCCTGATACAAGGAAGTAGCTGGCTGAAGTTTGAGCTGTCAGGTGGAGATACAGGTGGCAAGCATTTCCTTGAGGCCTGTTCTGTGCCAAGCACTGTGGTGGGTAGTGGGGATACAAAAATAACTAAGGCTCAGTCTGCCCTGAAAGTGCTACAGTCTGGTGGAGAAAATAATAGACAAGTGAATTTCATTATAATGTGGACAGTGGATTCTAGATTACGGGAATAGAACCTGTCTGAAGGGTCAGGAAGGCAAAGCCTGAGCTGGTCTTGAACAGCATATTGGAGTTTGGGTAAAGAAGAAAGGAAAAGAATGTTCCAAGAAGGGGGAATAAAGGTGATGGGTTCCAGACAGCCTAAGATGTGCTGGGAACTGGAAGAACAGCTGCTAAGGCCAGTGCGAAGGGGGCCAGGGAAAGAGAGTACAAAAAGATGAAGCTGGAAGAGGTAGAGGCTACACCAAGGAGGTATTTATGAGTCATGCTCAGGGACTGGAACTTTATCCAGTAAGTTCTAGAGAGGTATAGCAGGATTTTGAAGAAAGTAAGTTCTAAGAAGTTCATATTAGAGCACTCAAGACCCCCTGCTGGGCTCCTACCCTGATTTAGCTCCTTTCTTTGGGACCCAGGTGGATGTGGAAGCTTTGAATAACCAAGTAGAAGAGCGAAAGCTTCAGAAGGAAAGAGAGCAAAAAAAGGAGGAAGCATATGGTAACTGCCTAAACCCAGAGACAGACCAAACAAGGGAGTAAAGCAACAGCCTGAGTGGGCTGAAGCAGGGCCATTCTGTCTCTCAGTAGGGCCTGAGGCCCTGGGAGGGTGAGGCAAACTAGATGGCCCTTGGGAACACAGGCCGTGCAAACTGGGCTCTGTCCCTCCTGTGGTGCCTTCTGTATGTCCCTGCTCATCACCCCCAGGTACTAACAGCATGCAGTATGATCTGGTAGTCCAGATGCTAGAGAAGGAGGAGACAAAACGAGCACGTCGTGTGGCCAAGAAAGTCCAGGATTTTCGACAGCAGAAGCAGGAATTCAAGAGCAGATGTGAACTTGAACTTCGGGATCCAGCCCAATTACAAGGGATTCCAGTGGGATTCCAGGAGCTTCCGGCCTGCTTCGGTCACAATGGTCCCTTCTGTGGCCCAGCCAGCATGCAGTACTTCTTGGGGGAAGATCTAGAGAGGGCCTCATTCCTGAGAATGCAACAGCAGCAGTTCAGGTATAACCTGGAAAGGCAGCTACAGGCACAACAGCAAGCCAGGATTGAAGAGAAACGTGTAGGTAAGCAGGCTGTTCCTTCAGACTTACAGACCAAGACCAAGCAGGAAACTCTCCTGAGCTGGGTACAGCATCCAGAAAGCCCGAACAGTGTGGGGAAGTTGTTACCCATAATGCTGATGCTGAAACATTAGACTGTACAGGTCCTGACTTCCTTCAGTAAACTGACAATGTAGTCATTGTTCATGACAAGCCTGGCACTCCATCACCCAAATGAAGCATGGTGTATACACACACACACACCTGGCAACTCTGTCACTTACCAGCTGATTTGGACAAATGGACATTCAGTTTCTTCCTCTTTTATTTATTTTAATACAGGGTTTCACTGTGTAGTTAAGGCTGGTCTCAAACTCACAGCCATTATCCTTAGCCTCAGAGTGCTGGAATTACAGGCATGTACCACCATGCCCAGCTTTCCTCTTCTTAAAAATTAAGTGCCTCAGTGTGATAGCACATGCTTGTAATCCCAGTACTCAGGAGGCTGAGGCAGGAGGATCACCTAGAGTTTGAGGCCAGCCTGTACTGAGCTACATAGCAAGACCCTATCTCAAAATAAAATAAAATAAAAATTAATTAATTAATTAATTGGTCAAACCCAGGGCCTCATGCATGCTAAGTATACTTTTTTTAAAAAACTGTACTGGAGAGTGAACACAGGACCTTCACACATGGAGCTACATCCTCAGGCTCTCCCCCCCACCCCACACACACACTTTTATTTGAGACAGGGTCTCCGTAAGTGGCTAAGTTGCCCAGGCTGGGCTCAGCCCCTAAGAGTGTTGAGATTATAGGCATGCATCAACATGCCTAGCTGCTAAGCACACATTTTACCCCTAAGCTACACCCCCCTAGTTTCATCTTTAAAATAGGGGTACTAATCCTTATCACACAGAGTACCTATTGTTAGATTATCTGTGGCCAAATCTTTCTCTTCCTTTAGAGGAAGCCCTTGTAGGGCAAGGACCACGTCTTATCACAGGCACTATTCACCTCTCAGGTCACCACAATGTCTAACAGGCCCTGTCTGTACTTTTGCTTGTACTATTCCCCCAGCCTCGAACACTGTTTGCTCCTTTTGCCCGTATACAAATGTACTTCAAAGATCACCTCCTCCTAGAACCCTTCTTCTCACCCACCACCCAAAGACTTCATATTTTTTGTTCTGTTTTGGTGCTGGGGATTGAACCTGGGGCTTCACACATGTTAATTATATGCTCTACCACTGAGTTACAGCTCCCCGACACACACAAGTCTTCATGCCCTGTATACCTCTCTGCCATTGTCCTTACCAGATTATGGTCTGATTATCTCTTTGATCTGTCTTCCCCACTAGACAGGGAGTTCTTCTGAGGACAGGATCTAATTCCATGGTGTCCTTGAAACCCAACACATGGCCCTTAGACTGAGGCTCAGTGACATGAAATGACTTACCCAAGCCCACATTCAGAAGTAGCAGAACTACACTGCAACCCAGGTTGCTGCAGTACTTTGACTATCCCTAGCCCCAACGAGTAGCTCCTTCTGCATCCCTACAACTTGGATACTAGCCCCCTCCCAAACATACATACACATACACAAAGTTTGTTGAATAAACGGCTGAATAAGTGAACCAGGAATGGAGCAAGCCAGTATGGTAACACAACCGTATTTCTCTGTGCAGATATGCTCCGTGACCAGCTGAACCTAGCCATAGACATGCAGGCTGCCCACATGGCCAGGCTGGAAGAGTCTTGTCGTGTTGCTGTGATGTCTGCCAGAGCCAATGCCAACAAAGCCCAGGTATGGCCTGACCCATCCAGTATACTGAGCTCTCCCCAAACTCCTGAAGGAAGTCCTGGGGAACTTTAGCTACATCCTTCTCCTCCACCCCAGGTCCTTCTTAGGGCACAAGTTGCCTCTCTCTACCTCCAGACGTAAGATGACTTAAGAACAGAACACTGCCCTTTCATCTGTAGCCTCTAAGGCCTTCCTGAGTCCAGAGGAGTTCCCTGCCCTTATAGTCATCAAAAGGCCATGCACTGTCTCTTCCTTCTCTCCGAGATGGAGGAGTGGGGCCCTGTTTTTCCCACCCCTGCAACTGAGAGGCCCCTGAGGTGGAGTACTTAAAAACATATTTGGGGACACCACCAGGCAGCTAAGCTGGCTGATGAGCAGCACCACAAACATCAGCGCCAACAGGAGGCCAACCTCACAGACATACAAGAGCATACCACCAGTAACCTCCTGACTGAGAACCCCGAGGTTGCTCAACACCCCATGGATCCCCACCGAGTCCTGCCCTATTGCTGGAAAGGCATGACTCCAGAACAGCGAGCTGATATCAGGAAAGCCCAAGAGGCACAACGCCAAGAGAAGGAGGCACAGCGCCAAGCTGAACGAGCATTGGATAACGAATGGGCAAGCCAAACTGTATGCTTGGCCCAAGCAGCACTGGAGCTAGAAGAGCAGGAGAGGGAATTGTGTGCTGAATTTGAGAGAGGGCTGGGATCCTTCAACAAGCAGCTGGCCATGGATCAAAAGGCCCAGTGAGTTCCAGGGGGTGGCAGTGGGGATAAATGCCAAGGGAGGGCAGGAAGGGGTGGTGATGAACCAAGGACAAAAGGGAGGGACGGCAAGGACCAGGAAAAGAAGGAAGGCACATCATCTGAGGTTTCTGGACTTCTTTTCACAGGCAAAATTATCTGAATTCAGTAATTTACACCAACCAGCCTACAGCCCAGTATTATCTACAGTTCAACACCAGCAGTCGCTAAACTCAGGATGGTCTCCTGTTAAGCTCACGGATAGTTAGGAGTCAAAGAGCAAAATGCTGCATACTTCCACCTTGAATCCATTCCCTAGTGGGACAGAGCTAAGTGGGTACCTCCATCTTCTATCCGAAGCAATAAAATTATTCACTGAAGTCAAAGCCATGTGTATAACGACACAAAAGCGTGATGTAGTGCCTTTCCCATCCTACCTGGGGTTTTTGGGCATCCAACACTGTTACAGCTTTCACTTTTCTTCCCCGTGCCAGTCACCCCAGTACACAGCAGTGCCCATATCCCATGAAAGAGACTTTATTAGTCACAAAGGCAATTGATAGGTGGACACAAAATGGCTATTAGGCTTCCTCAGGGGAAGGTAAGGCACAAGAGCCTGTGTTTTCCCTGCCTTCTCTGTTCAAGGTTGCATGCGGATGGCCCCATCCAGCCGGATGACCTCTCCATTGAGGAATGGGTTCTCAATTATGGTCTGTACCAGATGAGCATACTCAGCAGGGTCTCCAAGTCGGGTGGGAAAAGGTATCTGGGTGGCCAAGAAGTTGCGTACCTTTTCTGGGAGGGTAGTCAGCAGTGGGGTGCCAAACAGGCCTAAACAAGATAACCAGAGTGAGACTCACCCTTATTTTCATATTTACTCCATTTTTTTCTCACCTTAGTTCTACTTCTTGGTGTTTCCCTGGGGTCCAAAGATAAAAGGCTGCTGTTGCTTAGGTGTAGATACCTTCCCCTCTTAACTGCACAGATTCTTCCCAATCCCAGGGGTGGCAAGGAGAGGGCATATGTCTACCTGGAGCAATGGTCATCACCCGGATGCCCATGGGAGCCAGATCCCGAGCAATGGGCAGTGTCATGCCCACTATGCCTCCCTTGGATGCAGAGTATGCAGCTTGTCCAACCTGGAGAAGGAGTAAAAGTCATAGGTGGGAGAGCCCCAGCAAGTAACTGAGGAAGCATAGCCTTGCCCCCGCCCACGAACCTGGCCCTCAAAGGCAGCCACACTGGCAGTGTTGATGATAACCCCACGTTGGCCTCCCGGGTCTGGCTCATTCTGGCCCATCTCACCAGCAACCAGGCGGATCACATTGAAGGTGCCTAAGAGATTCACCTGGAGGATGAGTAAAGACATGGTATAGGAGCTAAAGCATATGTTTGTTCCCCAAAGCTTTGGGGGTGCCTATCACCAGATACCTCTTATTCCTTTCCCTTTAGAATCTCTAAGACCTTACATTGATAACTCGCTGGAAGTCCTCCAAGTTGTGGGCCTGCTTCTTCTTTAAGTTATATGTCTTACTGGCCACTGCAATACCTGCACAGTTGACGGCCACATCCACATGGCCAAAATTTTCCTTTGCTAGAGTCAAGGCTGTCTGTACATCCTTCTCAGATGTCACCTTCAAAGGGAAAAATGGAGAGAAGATTCATTTCCCAGCACACACCACTAAACCTGGAGGAGGGCAAGGCCCAATTCTTGGGTGGACAAGAAAAGCCAAGAGAAAAGGGGTAAAACTGGAGGAGGATGGGGTGAAAGTAAAAATCATAGGTACTACAGGCAGTCTTGCAAAACATTTTTCAAAACTATACCTTCTTGTGATAATTTCACATACCCCTGGTGATTCCCAATTGCTGTGGATCAGAGCATTAATACAGTCTAGCTTTGAGAATTATTGATAGGAATGTCCACTAGTTTTTTTGCATCCCTACCTGCTAGATGATTTCATCACGTTTTACTTTCTGTAGTTTGTTTCACGAAAACAAATTTTCAAACTATAGATACCTCCTCCAGGAGATTCTATGTCTAATCCCCCTCCCCATTGCGGTGAATGAATCCCAGCTTTAGAGAGTCCCCGCTGTAGGTGCTTCCTCAGTACTTGAAGGCTTAGGCCAAAAGGGACAAGGAGATAAGATTCCCAGCCCCTGTGGATGAAACTCACGGGAGGGACCCCCACGGGTTCCCAGGTGGGTGCTGATGACCTGACGCACACCCTCGGAGACGATAACTGAGTCCACTTACGTCAGTTGGGGCAAACACACAGCTCTTCCCTAATTTCTTGGCCTGGGCCTCTCCATCAGAGTTGGGCAAGTCCAGAAGCACAGCAGAAGCCCCTTGCCCCACCAGTCGCTCTGCTGTAGCCAAGCCAAGGCCTGAGGCTCCTCCGGTTATTACTGCTACGAGGCCCTGTGAAAAGACACAAAAGGTCAGCCGCTACGCTGCCAGGTCACCCGCCATTTCACCTGCCCGTTCTCCATACTCCTGCGAGGAAGGTGGGGGCCGAATCAGATGTGCCTCCTCTCCTCACTCACGAGACCTCTGGGAGTTCTCATCCCCGGACAGTCCGCTCTGTGACCCCCCACATGCACAGGCAACAGTGTTGATGCCCCTGCTGAGCCCACCCCCCGCAGGATTAGGGCCAGATAGGCATGACCCTTTCTCCGGGCACCGATCTCTTCTCCCTAGTTTCCAACCGTGCTGTCCGAGCCACCATAGCCAGGCAGAGAGCAGAGAGCAGAGGGGCAAAGAGCAGACTACCTTCACACTGCGACTCGCCGCGGCCATCTTGCGCCGGTCTCACCACTGGAGGGCTTTGGGCCTTTTTTTTCACAGGCGTCACTGATTGGCCGAGGCGGAGCCGCTGGGCGGGGACATCTGCCGCGGGAGACGTAGGGGTGTGCCTTGCTGCAACTGTACCTAGGTAAGAGGGTGAACCTGTGTCCCGAGAGTTATTTCAACAGCAGAAAGATCAGTAGCGGCAGTACAAATCATTACACCACCTGTGACCTGCTTTCTAGCTGGTCATTTGGCAGGCAGCCGGCTCCGAAGGGGGAAGGGAGAGTGATTAAAAGTGAATGTTTTTCTCCAAAGAAAAAGCTTTCAAGTATAAAGGACTCCTCAGTGCATACACTATGCAGAGCACTGGGGGGAATCATAAAAGGTATATGCCTTCAAGGAAGTTGAAGAAAGGCAATTACAGTGCAGACAACGGAAAGGACAGAGAACCAGATTTTGAACCTCGGGCCTTGCACGTGCTAGGCAAAGGCTGTACTACTGAGCTGCCTTACCAGCCCGAGGAAAAGATTCCGGAACACACAGATGAGGAGATCCAAACATGGAGATTCTGAGAAAGAAGCACTGAGGAGAAAGATGTGTTGTGGCAGAGAGAGGTACCGAACAGGAGCACACAGATACGAATGTGGAGAGCCACTAAGAGTCACAGATATGAGCCAGGCGTGGTAGCACACGCCTGTAATCCCAGCACTCAGGAGGCTGAGGCAGGAAGGTCACTGAGTTGGAGGCCAGTCTGGGCTACATAATGAGTTCAAGGCCAGCGTGAACGAAACAGTGAGCCCTTGTCTAAAAAAATAAACAAACAAAAACCCCCAAAGGAACCCCAGAAGACAAAAACATCTTTTATCATTTCAGACTTTGGTACTCTCCTTTGTCTGTGCAATATATTTTAAGTGCAAAAGCCCAGAACACACACTGTAGATTGAACTTCAACCAGAAACAAACTTACTTATTTATTTATGACAGAGACTCACTATGTAGTCCAGTCTGGACTTAAACTCACTGTGTAGCCCAGGCTAGCCTTCCACTTTCAGTAATCCTCTTGCCTCAGCCTCCCACTGCTGGAATTACATGCATGCATTACCACATCCAGCTCAGTGATTTATTTTAAAAACCTAGGTCTTTGGTAATCCTAGAACATCTTTCCATCCTCATGCTCATTAGAATCTTTTTTAATGTGTGAGTGTGGTACTAGGGATTGAGCCCAGGGCCTTTGCACTGAACTACATCCCCAGCCCTTTTATAAATTTTTTATTTTGGGGGGCTGGGGATTTACCTCAGCAGCACAGCGCCTGCCTGGCAAGCGCAAGATCATCAGTTCGATTCCCGGTACCGGAAAATTCCCAAAACCCCCTCAAAAAAAAAATTTTTTTTTTATTTTGAAATAGTGTCTCTCTAAGCCAGTAAATTGCCCAATCTGGGCTCAAACTTTTGATCCTCCTGCCTCATAACTCCCAGAGTAGGAATTACAATATGTGCCACCACACCATGCTTCAATTAAAAGTTTGAGCCCAAACATCTAATGTGTCTTTCTTCTCTACTTTTCCTAAAATCAAGGTCTTCAGGCCACAGATCTTAGCCTACATTTTCAGCCTCATAACTGCTCTGTTTTCTCTGTCTGAAGCATATCTTCCCACCCGCTTTCCCACCCAGGAAAACTCACCTTTGGAACTTTCTAGTTGTTGACAACCATCACGCTCATATTCACTACACTATATTCATCAAAATACTTAGCACCAGGCTCGCAATCTTTCTGTCTACATGAAGTGTTCCCATCAATTGGTAGCACTTTTCACTAGCCCAATGTACTCCAGTCGCAGCGGCCTCTTTTGTGCTCGTCTTTGCATTAGCTCTTTCCTCTGTTTAGAATGCTGTTCCCATGAGCATAGCACGACTACCTGTTTTGTTTCATTTGGTCATTCAGAATTGTTTAGGCTGAGCACGGTGGCACAGACCTGTAATCTCTGCACTGAAGAACCTGGGGCAGGAGGATCCACACAAGTTGAAGGCCAGCAAAGGCTACATACTGAATTCAAGCCCAGGCTAAACTATGTAGTGAGACCCCCATCTCAAAAAAACAAAAACAAAAATAGAATTAAATTTAAATGCCATCTCTCCAGAGAAGTCCTTCTTGACCACTCCAGATGCAGTCACCTAGTTAGTATCATATTTGAATTCTCTGCATAGCACTTAGAGATATATCCATAATCTTTTTTTCCAAACTTGGGACCAGTTTTGCAATACAGAATTTTTTCAATTTTAGAGTAGAAGATATAGGCTCTGTTATATAAACTCTTTATACTACATATACTCTGTATTATATAACTACTGAGAAAGGTCTGGAGTATGATAGTTAAACATTAAAATATTTAAAGTGAAAGGTATGAAACTTCGTAATGTATGAATAAAGACTATAAATAGCTTCAGGCCACTTCAGCTCAGGTTTTGTCAACTAATGTGTTTGGGCTCCAAAGTATGAAAAACAATACGCTTTTCAGAACTTTTGGCATTATAGAATTGTGTCTAAAGGCTTGTAAGGTTTAACTGGCCTTATTTGTGTAATTCTTCCTCTCCTGGAAGATAAGCCCAGGATTTTGTCCTGCTGATTCACCTCTTGACTACCCAGTGCCAAGAACCGTTACCTGGCATATGTGAAAGAAATACGAATATTGTCAGAATTGAAACGGATTATACCTGCTTTCAGTGCTATTGTGAAAGTTGTAGTTTGTGCTCATTTTAGAAAATAAAGCACAACCTTTCTTAAAAAAAAGAAAAGAATCAAGTTGGGTCTCTTGTGTCAACCCTAACTACTCCCTAAAAAAGTAAGTATAGGCAGAAGGTTAAAAAGAAAGATTCTTTTTTTTTTTTTTTTTTTTTTTTGACACAAGGTCTTGCTATGTAACTCAGGCTGCCCTTGAACTCAGTGTGTAGCTCAGGCTGGCCTCAAATTCACAGTAATCCTCCTGCCTCAGCCTCCCAAGTGCTGGGATTATAGGCATGCACCTATAGGCCTGGCTTTTTTTTTTTTTTGAGACAGAGTTTCTATGTGTAGTTCACGCTGGCCTTGAACTCACTATGTAGGCCAGGCTGGCCTCAAAGTTACAGTGAGCCTCCTGCCTCAGTCTTTCAAGTGCTGGGATTATAGGTGTACACCACCATGCTCAACAAAGCAGAGTTTTTTTGTTTCTGTTTTTTTTGTTTTTTTTTTTTTTTACAAACTATTGATTGATAAAAAATATCACAGATTCTGCTAGACTACAACATTTTACAATGGCCACCACAACCTTAAACAAAAAATACTTCTACGAAGATGTACTTTAAGAGTGATGCCAGGGCTGGGGATATAGCTCAGCGGCACAAGTGCCTGCCTGGCAAGCACAAGGTCCTGAGTTCAGTTGCCAGTACCGGAAAAAAAAAAAGAAAATAACATGTTAGTGTTCTCTTTGGGCTGGGAATATAGCTCAGTGGTACAGTGTCTTGCTTGGCAAGCGCAAGGTCCTGAGTTCAATTCCCGGTATCAAAAAAAAAAAGAGTGATGCCATTCTTATTATTAATCATTGTGGCCAAGGATTATTGTTTCAAAATGTCAGATGTATTCCTCCTCATTTTTGTCTTAAAAACTTCCCCTTGCTCGACGTCTTTGAATATGCCCAGTTTACTATGGCATAAATATTGCCATTGTATTGCTCTGCTGTTCCCAAATAAAATCAGTATTCTTTAGAGAATCTCTGATTTTTTAAATTTAGGTTGATACATGTACTAGATATTCAAAACAAATGTGTTGAATGATTGAATCTTGGGAGAATTTGCAGGCCTAGCTTCATGATCCATTCACCTGCTTAATTCTAGAGACTTTCACCTCCTCTCTACTTCAACCACCTTTCCCGGCCACATTACTGCTTTTCTCCCTTAGGAGCTCCTCACCGCCCTTTGTGCTAACAGAAGTGACAGCAGAGGCAGATGCCTGGAGCTTGGCTCTCTCTTGGCTCTCCAGCTCTCCAACCCAGGAGTTAGATTAGTTTCCTGAAGAGCTCCCATGGCCCCTAAGTCAGGAGGATAGGGAGAGAGTGTGATGATCCCTTTCACCCAGTGCCCACTTGGGTCGAGTTGGGAAAGACTTGGAAGAGAATAAAGGACTGTATGGGTGATGAGTCAGCCCAGCCAGGGTTGCAGCTGCCAGCAAGACCCTTGCCAGAGTGATTGGGGAAGAGCTAGAAGCAGGGGCTGGCAGTATGGGCCCTGGTACTCCTTCCAGGTGTGAGGCCTCAAAAGCAGTTTCTGTAATTGAGGTAGAGTTAGAGCCTCCATGGGGACAAAAGGCAGGTACGCTCCTGGGCCCCAACTCTGCACCTGTTACCTATTAAAAGTATGGTACGGCCAGGCCCAGTGGCGCACATCTGTAATCCCAGGAACTGAGAGGATGAGGCAGGAGGATTGCAAGTTCGATGCCAGCCTGGACAGCGTGGGGTACTCTTCCCCATGCCCTGAGTCTCCCAAACAGTCTTATCAACCTCAGAAACAAGGTGCATCATTAAAGCCAGGTTGCCTTTGCCAAAGCAATTCCTAGAATAAACTGGATGAGAAGATAAAACTGTTGGTAATCATTGCAGAGGGACAGAGGACAAGTTCCAGGACACTTCACCTGTTACTCATTAGATGGGTGATTTGTATTCTCTCCAGGCAGTCAAGGATTTAAAACTGCTTTTACTGCAAACAAACAACCTCCCCCACAAAAAACTCTTCACTTGAGCCTATAGATGTCCAGTGGGTAACCAAAGACAGATGTCAAGATAAAGCTTGATATCTCTGCCTTCATTACTGAAAACTTAGGTCAAATCCCTGCTCAGGTCTGCACATAAATACATGTTAATCATTTAACGAATCTCTGCCTAAAAACTTGTGATACGTGGTTCATTAACCCTAAGTTTATGTAACCTATTTCATCCTCTTTCAAGGCTGAGGACAGCAGGGTAAGAGATTTACAGGTACTTTTAACTTTTACCCCCTAGAATGAATGCCTAAAAGTTTCCAGTCACTACTTTAAGCCCACAGTCA